CGGGACCCAGGCGTCCCCAACTCACGGCTCTGGGGTCTGGGAAAGGCAGAAGGCAGAATCCAGCCCCAGGGGACTTAACCCCTTGAATGCCCTGCCTGGGGGGTGGCGGGCTAGATGCCGAGGACTCTGGGGTCCTTCTCAAGGGGTGATCCCAGGCTGAGGACCCGGGGACCAGTTCAGGGTGACTGGGACGGAGCAGGAAGTGACCCCAGCTTCCCGGGTCCCTCTAGCCTGGAGTCAGAGCATCAGCTCTATGGGATTTAACCCTTTGCCTCCCACAGCCTGGGAAAAAAAGAGGCCGGGGAGCAGGGAGGTGGCTGCGGCGGTGCCCCGTTTTCTGTCTCCAGTGGGAGCAGATTCTTCGGGGAACCCAGTGCCAGCGGGGGTCTCCGGATTTCTGGCCACTCTCCATCTCGCAGGGGCTCTGCCAGCCACCGAGGAAGCCGATTGGTGGCCGTTGGTCCCCCGGGGCCTGCCTTTGTTGGGACTCAGACCCAGAGATGGGCCCCGAAGCCTGGGTTGTGGGGTGGCTGCAGGGGCTGGCCGGGAGGATCGGAGAGGGAACCTCCTACAGACTAAAAATGGCTTAAATGAAATAGTAAGTCATGGCAACTAGAGTTGGGGCCTAGGGGACAGGCAGCCGGGAGGAATCTGCGGCAGCCTGTGTTCCTGGGCCCTCTTCTGCCGTTTGCTGCCCTCAGAGGACTAACCTGGGGGCAGGAGGGAAGCCAGCGGAGTTCCCTGACCAAGGAGGGCAAGAACCTTTCCCAGGAGCTCAGGGGGCACCCAGCTCAGAACAAAAGGAACCTTTAAAAACCTGGGAACACTGGGGGAATCCCAAGGCCCAGGTTGCCTGGGCTCCCAGTTTTTATGTCCTTTACTCATTTCCTCCCCACAGTCCCTTGAGGTAGGACAGCATACGATCCCCGTTTTGCAGGAGAGGAAACCACCGTGTGAGACGGGAGGTCAGGTGCTCAAGGCCATGTCATCATTTCAATTCAACACATTCCTACGTTGGATCTTCTTATTCCTGGGCACTGGAGGGAACATAGAGGTGGGAAGATCTCAGAGTTGAACAAGAGTCAGGTTTTCTACCCTCAAGAAGTTTGTGTGTGTTATAGACACAAAGGAATTACAGGTGAAAAGGGCTAGCTGTCCAGAGATGTGAGGGAGCCAGAGGAGGAACAAACCGTATGTCAGGAATTGCTAAGGAGGATGCAGCTCCTCTGGGCCTACAGCTGGGATTCAGAGTGTGGCCGCCAGGAGAAGGCCCCCTGGGCCAGCCTCGGCTCATGTCCCAGGGCTGACTCCCTCACCCTCCCTCTCACCCGGGCATGTCTCCATCTTATCCCTGGCTTCCATCACCTTTGCTACCTCACTCTCACCTCAGGGCCTTTGCCCCTCCTGGGCCCCTTACCCTACTCTGTTTCTCACAATATGTATCACCCCTGGCAGAATATCTATGTGTTTTTCACCTGTCTGTGCCCATCCCTCTGCTGGGGGCAGAGATGTTGATCATGCTCTGTTGACCATGACTGTGAAGGGGGGGAGGGCACCTAATAGTTGTCTAATGACTATTCACCTTACTAACTATAGATAAGAAGTTTTCCTACTGACCCTGGGAAACTGTAGGGTGTGCGGCAAGGAGAAAAACAGGGCTGAAAAAGATAAGAGATACCTTGGGGCCTGGATGGGTCCATTGCTCAGAAAAGAAAATGCATTTTGAGAACAACAAAGGACAGGATGTGCTTTGATTTGGTTGCTGTGCCTGGAGCCTGACCCCCCCACAGGAGTTTGCCTCAGGAATGCTGACCATCCTCAGGTCCCAGGAACTGGCGGAACTGGGTTTTAACACCATAGAAAATTAACTACCTTGTTATCAGACTTCAAGATCCTGGAAGGAGACACACTGACCACAGACCCGGCAGCCATCCCCACTCCCCCTTCCCCCTTGCATGCAGCCTTTCTTCCTTACACCTATATAATCAACCAGCTAGTAGAAGGAGGGAAGAGCAGATTGTATATGGGCAAATCCTGTTGCTATCCCCGCACTGCCGGCATTACTGGAATAAGCGCTCATATATGAATCAATCTGTCTCTGCTTAATTGACTCAAGTGGCGATAGGCCGCCTGGACCCACTGTATCCAGTTTCACCTCCTGTGCGCTCACATTAGTGTCAGCTCCACCAGGGCAGGGGCACAGCCTCTGGTACGCTGCTGTTTCCCCAGCACCTAGAACAGTGTCTGGCATGTAGTTAGTAGGTGCTCAGTGCACGGAATGAAGTCATGCATTGTCTTCATGCATTGCCCCATCATCTGTCTCCAGGTCAATCCTCAGGCAGGACAGACAGAGCAAACTTGTACAGAGCCTCCACCGCTGGGCTCTGCTGCACAATCCCATTCATTCACAGACACCCCCACCCTCTCACCCCTCTCTTTGAGAGACAGGTGAGAAGCAGGACAACTTAGGATCAGAGAGACTTGGGACAGATCCAGCCCTCACTGTTTCTCTGACCCTTCAGGGCTGTGAAAGCCTGACCCGGTCCTGGGATGGTGGGTCTACAGGAAAGCTGTGCCTTGGAGGCTCACAGAAGAGTTTAATTTGGCCTTCAGTTTTATTTTGTTTTAAATTGAACTAATTGCCACATTTAAATATCAGTACATTTCATATAAAAACCCACATTTCCTACTTCTTTGGAAAAATCCAAAGATGTGGCAACAATGACCCACATTTCACATGGCACTAGCTGGTGGGACAGCAGCTTCCTTCTTTAGACAGCACTGGCTTTCCAGTTTATCAGTCTCCACAACTCTTACTGTGTCCCCAAGCATGAGGCTGGGAGGTGGTCTCAGTATATCAATGATCTTTCGCTGTTGGTGTTCCAACACCCGTTTCACTATAGGTATTGATTCTGTATCCCTTGGTCTGTGTCCCCCAGGTGCAGACTAATAAATGAGGATGTCTTCTGACATAGTCACTATGTGCAGACACTGTTCCAAGGTTCACATGTGCAGTGATGCAATGCATAACCTTGGTTCCGTCAACGATGGACCACATGTGACAGTCGTCCCATAAGATTATAATGGAGCTGAAAAATTCCTGTTGCCGAGTGGCATCATAGCCATGGAGATGTCATAGCGCAAGGTATTATTACTCATGTGTTTGTGGTGATGCTGGTGTAAACACACCTACTGCCCTGCCAGTCATATAAAAGTACAGCACAAACAATTATGTATACCACATAATGTTTAATAATGATAATAAATGACTATATTACAAGTTTGTGTATTTACTATGCTATACGTTCATCACGATTTTACAGCGCGCGCCTTCTACTTATGGAAGAGGCTTGCCGTCGGTGTGCCACGTCAGGCTGGCCGCGTCCCCTGAGTGCATCATTTTCTCTCGAGCCTGATTTAACCCCGAGCTGTTTTGTCCAGTCACGTGCCGTGCAGGCTGCCGGCCTGGAGCAGCAGCCCGCGCCACAGAGCCGCGTGCGCAGCGGGCCACCCGTGCGGGCGTGCGTAAGCGCCCTGGCTGAACGGCCTTTCCCAGACTCCAGCCCTGTCGTTAAGTGGCGAATGACTGTAGCAGTTCCTAGAAAACTCACAGCTCATGACACCAATATTACTATCGCCCCGAGGATAGAGTAAGTCACTTGTAAACAGCTCACTGGGGACAGAGCTGGATTCAAACCCAGGCGTGCTGATTCCAGAGCCTCCCTGGCTCCTAACCCCAATTCCCTGGTTGGCTCGTGCCTGAGGACAGGGTAAGCCCCTCAGCCCCACATTCTCTCCCTCACCTCGCTCCAGGAGCCGGAGAGAGGAGTCCCGAAGGCAGGGCTCTCCCGACTGGGCCGGGCCTTCTCCAGAAAGAGTTTGTGCGCCCCGTTCCAGGAGGCAAAGGGCGCTCTGCCTACGGCAGCGGTGTGCTTCCTGGTGCCTGCAGCTGGCTGGCACAGCGGCCATGAAGGAGACCCTCCTGGCAGGGGAGCTCCTGGAAGGATGGGGATGACCCCTAACTCCAGCCCTAACTTCCTACATTTCATGTAAAACCCACCACTGCGCTCTTCTTGGGCACAATCTCATGAGCCCCCACATGGCCCCTTGGCACTGCCATTGTGTGCCGAGGCCCAGCGAGGTCCTAGAGGCGGACCCTGGCCCAAACCCTGTCCATCCTCGCTGTCAGTGTGACCTTGGGCAACTCACTTTGCCTCTTGTAGATTCGGCTTCCTCTTTCTAAAGGGGAAAAGCCTTAGTTCGCAAGAAACAGGAGGGTTCAACGAAATGATGGAAGAACTCCGAGCTGACCAACGCTACAGGCCTGCCTCGGTCTTTTCCATCAGGACGCACAGCCCTTGGCCTGCTGAGCAGGGGAGCCAGGCGCCTGGAAACCATGTCCTGAGTAAACTGGGAGGACTCGGGGCCACGACAAGATGCTCTACAGATGGGGACACTCTCAGGGCAGGGCGCAAAGGCCAAGAAGGTGAAGCTGATGAGCCATCTCACCAGATCAGCATCTATCCACAGGTAGGGGAGGCTGTCAGATGCTGCGGCCGGGAAAGCTTGGGGCCTCCTTTCCTGGAGATGTCCATGCCTACGAGGCATATGGGGGATTGCTTTTCGGGAATGTGGTCCTCAAATGTGGGACAAGAGCTGGGTCCCATCTGAGGACCTGGGAGTTCCCTTCTGCCTGAGAGTCTGGGGTTCCAGGGTCCCCTCTGCTCAAGAAACTAGAGAGGCCCTAAGACTTCTCAGATCGTCTCCCCCCTGGTGCCCCCTAACCATCTTCTCTAAGGCTCAGAACAAAGTCCTTCCTTACATTATCTTCCTCAAAAATCTCCTGCTTCATGCGGTCAAATCCAACCGCATGTTAGCTGCCCACCTGCTCCAGTCCTCGAGGCCTCGTTCTTTCCCTCCATCTGCTTAACAGCCCCGTCGGCCTGCAGTCATCCAAACTCACCAGCTCGATACCTGGTCATCCCGCTCCCCAAGGCCAGGGGGGTGCCCGCCTCGACACCCCTCAGCCAGTAAGTTCTCAGGTCTGTTGTGACCCTGCTGAATCTGCCCACCTCTCTTGTCCCCCGGCTCCAGGCCACTGTAGGTCCCTGGTTCTTCTTCCTGAATGGCTGCAGTGACTGTCCTGAGTCCAGCCCCACCCGTTCTCCCCACCATCTGGTGCCCATTCATAAAATGCCACTGTGCTCACCTCGGAATGCCTCCTTGGTCCTCACTATCAATAGAGA